TAGGAGAGTAGAAATAGTATGCACAGGGACCTTAAGCTGTGTACTTCATATCACATTCCTGAGAGAAGAGTTGCTGGGTTCATAAATGGAAACTTTGCAAATAATATAATATTAAAACTGGCACAGTGGAATTCCATATTCTAGAATATTTTATGTTATATTTTATATTCTAGAAATTTTCATGTTCGATTTTTAGAAGAATAGTGTCTTAAGAGGAAAAAAATACTACTTCTAAATTTGTATACTTCTTTGGTTAAATATAAATGCAAATTAATGTCCCTTATTGGCCAAATTGTTGAGTGTGAACTGTCATAAGTATATCAAATGCTGAATGCTGTTGAAGATAAGTTTTTTCTTTTATTTTGAAAATGTTGGTTGCTTGAAATAATATATTTTGGCTTATCAGGTGATTATTACCTAATTTGATTATGAGATAAAATCTAACCTATTGTGGGCTTTAATATCAAAACTACTATATTGAGTACTTTCTTTGCTTTTCAGTGTATTAAAACCTGAAAAAAGTTGAAGAGACTAGAATGAGGAGGGGGTAGCAGAGAAGAACGAAGAGTGTTTCACACGGTTTCAAGCAGTGGGCAGTTTCATGGAGAGAGATTTGAAACAGCCATAGAATCTTATAGATAGAGGAAACCTCAAAGCCATACAATTAAATGTTTTTGGTTCTCAACTAAAGAAACATGCCCTTTGAGGTTAAATAACATGATGACAATTCTCCAGGCAATATGCAGTTATACAAGGCACCAGAAGAGAAGTGGGATATGTGAGTGGGACTGAGGAATGGGTTGTTGTGGGATAGGTTGAAATTCAGTTAATATTACTTACCATATGTCCAGCTTGTGCAATGACCTTCATACTTACTATCTCTTTTGCATTATCATAACAACCTTACAGGTTAAATATTACTAACCAAGGTCCAAGGAAGTGAAGTAGCTTTCTCAAGGAGTGACACTGATTTGGTGGGTAGACATTGCAAGTGTTGAGTTGGTTTGAAATAAGAAATGGGATGGATATGTTGGAGGAAAGGGAGGTAAGACCCTTGCTCGGCAGGAACAGAGGTTCCATGCTGGGAAGGATTGAGACCTATGGAGGCTATTGCATCTATAAAAAGTTATAAATGTTCAATTTACACTTAAAATCCAGGGTGAGTTTGTTTCACACAACAAGACAGAGTATTACAACACTGAAGCAGAAAGAAAGGGAGGGAGGGAATTAATAGTATCTGAGATAAAACTTAGCCTAGCTGGTGAAAAACACTCTATGTATGAATAATTATAATATATATAATCATTATATAATATGTATATTATGTTATATTATATATTATATATTAATGTGTATATATATGTATCAATATAATATATATTAAGATCCAAAACAGCCAGGGAAACAAGAGGATGCAGCACATTATAACAGTAATTATCTCTATGTAGTTGGATTATAAGTAATATTTTTCTTCCTCATTCATTCCTTTTTTCTTCAAATTTTCTGCAGGGAGCCCGCATTGATTTTATGATTAAAAAAATCAATTTCTATAAAAAGAAATACATACATGGAAACTAGATTATTTGCTGAATTGAAAACATTGCCAATTTTAAACTACAACAGAAATAAATTTGAGATAAAAATTAGAACAGCTTATACTGAATTAGAATATAAGTAGTTCATTATTTTATATACATATTATTTTCAATTCTATGTTTTCCTAATTAGGGTTAAAAAGTTAACATTCTATTTTTGATTAACTCTTCACAAGAAATTTGTGGTTTTTAAATGTCAGCTTGTACATAAGTAGATACTTCCAGATATGGATTTTAAAATTGTTCTCTGGATTTTGGCTTGTAAAGTTGGCAGATACTCTCTAACTGACTGTGCTAATAGAATTTAAAAAGAATATCCATTTTTGTCCTTTTCACATATGGAATGTGTTCCCGGGGAAATACTGAATATTGGTAATTTATGTTGGCCTATACAACCTCAAGCCCGACATTAGATTTATAATAAGCACATAGGAAATTCTTACCGACTATATTCGGATCAGTTCCTGTGTCTTTTTAATTTCACAGAATGTTATTAGCTGTGGCCTTAGTTCCCAACCTGCTTTAAGGTTTTGTTTCAATTTATCAGTTACATGTTGATACCATTTATTAAGATCTGTTTGATAAAATGGCGTTTATTTTGTGCTTTTTCTCCAAAAATGTCCTGAAAATGGGTAGTTCATTTTTTCTTTGAAATTATTCAAATTGTTACAAGCCAAACATCAGAAAGCTTTAGGATTTCTAAAGCAACATTTATTAGCACAAGTGTTTGAACTGCATAGATTAAAGTAACAAGTTTCTAAAGCCTCTCTACCCATTATTTTCAAGTAGGATGATTTGCAATCTGACTTTAGTTTTCAAAACACAATTTTTCTTAATATCAGTTAATTAATATCCCAGGTATATTTCCTTATTCCAAAAGTCACAAATTTATTCCCTCTATAAAATCCTCACTGAAATCACATCACATACTTGAGAATTGTCCCAAGAATTACATTTTTCTCTTGTTTTCTTCCGGATGTGCTGATGTCTCCATTTTGCTCATTTACTGCTCTGATTTTAGATGTCAGAGTCTTGAAGGTAGGAAGATGCCATCACTCATTTTCTGCTTGTGGAATCGCATGTGGTGCCCTGGATCAAAAAATGTTGAGTGACTGTATATCTCTGACACTATTTTAAAATATTTCGGCCGATAATTTTGCCTTTGGCATTTTTTTCTAATATTATAACTACCTATTTGTATTACATATAAAAGTTGCTTTGGTATTTCGTCTATGATTGATCATCGTTGAGTGGCTATCCAGGAAATCTCGCCAGAAAATGGAAAGCGTTTATTTTTAATGTGTTTTTGAATTCACATATAATGTGACCTTGGAGTCCCCTACAAATAATATAGCATTATATTATTTCCTGACAGTTATTTTCTTTTCCCACTTTAGGAATAAGGTCATTCAGCACGACCTTTGTATTGCCAGACTATTCCCATTGATGTTCCCCGAAAGAAATAATCATTTTTTGAGTTTGAACTTGCCTCAGCCGCTTTAAAAATTCATAAATAACATGCATTGTTGTTTTTCTTAACTAACCAACTTCATCGACTGACATTTGTAACCGCATACAGATCACATTCACAGAATTTTCCAGTAATATCATTTTGTGTTAGAACATCTGCTTTCTCAAAGCTGAGAGAGCTTTCGGCTGTTATCAGTCTCTTCAAAACCTTCAAACTGTAGTGTAAGCTCCTTGAACAAAACCAGTATCTGTGGTTTCTTCATGATGCTAAGAATGCATGTGCTATGGTTTTTGTTTGTTAGCTACCTTTGTGTTGATAAAATTTCTTAAATAATCTCTGAAAATTCCTTATGAATCCTCTTTATTGAAAATAGGCTTCCTTAAAACACTTTTGATAACAAAAGAGCTACACTGCATTTCATAGTGATCAAAACATTCAGCATGATACCTTCACCCAACTAGAAAATTAAAAAATGTGAAAAGTCAATCCCTGTTCAAAGGAGGGGGGAGAGAAAAAAGAGGAATGATAGTGGATAAGTGTATTTTCCCTGTTTGAAGGTAGGAATGTTTCAAAGTCCATTATTTCTTGGTCAACACTCAATAGTCTAGGTGTAGTTGGTGTCCCCTGGAAAGCTTCATAAATTATTTTAAAAAGAAGACAAAGGAGGGATGCCTGGGTGGCTCATTCGTTGAGCATCTGCCTTCGCTCAGGTCAGGATCTCAGGATTCTGGGATCGAGCCCCGCATCAGGTTCCCTGCTCGGCAGGAAGCCTGCTTCTCCCTCTCCCACTCCCCCTGCTTGTGTTCCTTCTCTCGCTGTCTCTCTTTCTCAAATAAATAAATAAAATCTTTAAAAAAAAAAGACAAAGGAAAGAATATTGTATAAAATCTAAGGCAAATATGTAAATACAGCAATGACCAGAATCTAATAGAATCTTCCACTTTACATTTGAATGTCGGGCAGAGTATATATTTCCCCAAATAAGAGATAAGAGTAAAAACAAAAATTAAAAAATACATATATATTAACTTTATTCTATTTGTAATTGGACAACTTTGAAAGTTAAAGAAAATCTATGCCCTTCCTCTTTTAGCTGTTTCCATATAGGATAATGAGTATGCCATGAAGTATTGGAAACCCCCTTCCTCGCCAGGGGTGATGATTAACTTGTGAGTTTGAATGCTTTTCAGGTGAACAAAGTTTAGCAATAATGATGGATCTGAACATTTTGGAGTATTTTATTGCCTTTGAAATGAATAGTATAAAATACTTATCAGCATTAATTTATTTTACCTATTTAACAAAATGTTAAACTGAATAAGTGGTGAATTGTTTATGTTTATATGTTATTTGTTTTATGCTGTTTTTCTGTGGGTTGAGGCAATATTTTTAATTAGCTTTTGTAAATGGGATTTGGACAATTGAAATTAAGTCAGTTAGTATAAGGCAAGCAATGTATTTGTTTGGATTTTTAATTGAAATATCAGAGATTTTGAAAAACCTATGGGCAAAGTTTTAAAATCTCTTTTTCTAGGAGAATTACCTAATCTTTGCCCAATTACTGTGTAGTTTACAGTCATACTTAACACTTTTTGAGAAGATTCTATTCTGTATATTATTACAAATGTTTGCTGCTAATTCATTTTGAATATGATAGTCCACAGTAATATTTACACACTTTCTAGGTCCCCTGGCTATTTATATGACCTCAAAAATAAGCAAGGAAATAAAGGATAAGGAAAAATAAAATAAATATATTATTTTTTCTAAGTGCTTGAGAAATATGTTATTTCTTCAACAATCTTTTGAATGTTATTCATAACAATACTATTCAAATTTAATTTACTTTGATTCCACATAGTATATACTTTGCTGTAGGGTATGTTGTATGTTTCTCTAAATTCTTCTTTTCTGTGTGCTTTTTTCTTTTCCAGTTACTGGCTGACAAACAAAGTTCCCATCAAAAGACCCAGCACAGGTCTCCTCATGTATACACTTGCCACAAGATTCTGTGATGAGATTCACCTGTATGGATTCTGGCCATTCCCTAAGGATTTGAATGGAAAAGCTGTCAAATATCATTACTACGATGACTTAAAATATAGGTATTTTTCCAACGCCAGTCCTCACAGAATGCCATTAGAATTCAAAACGTTGAATGTGCTACATAATAGAGGAGCTCTGAAACTAACAACAGGAAAGTGTGTAAAGCAATAAAGCACATTTGAAAACATACAAAAAAACTGAATATGCACTTCTTTTCTGAAGATGCTTCCTAAGATTTGAAAATGGGATCCAAAACAAGACTGAGTTTCAGCATCCACCAAGTATCAGCAAGGTGATAAAGGACACTTATGAGAAATCCACTACCAGCTGATGAAATACCTGCAAAGTGCTCTAAAAAACACATATTTCGACTTCAAGGGTCCTAGTAAGTGCCACTTCCACTAAGAACACAGTTTGAATGTATAATCAGTAGTGTTTACAAGATCCAACAATGCACTTGTCATTAGTTAATGAGGCAAATATGTTCATCAATGTTGGGCTGCCACGGCAATGCCAAGCACATTAGAAAAGTCACCCAGGAACACAACTCAGCCCTGGGGATTAAACCATCCTTGTCAGCAGAAACCGAGATGGAAAGAGTTTGAGCAGTGAAATCCATAAGATGAAACAACTCAAGTAAATGCCTTCAGTCAGGACTCTGAGTCTGATCATGAACTTTTGTTTTTGCTTTTGTTTTTGTCTTCTGGAATCTCTTTTGGTTTGGGTATTGGGTGCTTAGAAATCCTTTCTGAGATAAATATGAATGAGATAAATAACCTTCAAGGAATCATTTTTAAAGTTCTTACATTTTTAAAGAGCAATCACAGGACGACTTTGTCAAAGAGTTTTATTTTGCACAACTCTAAACCTCCAGATTTTCAGGGGTGGAGAAGGTACCAGCTAAACTGCACCACTCAGTAATCTTGAGCCATTCTAAAGGAAAGATGTTCTATGTCATCTGAGATGGTAAAATTAGCAGAAAAAACAAGTACTTTTGGTACCAAAGATTGTGCTGATGTTTCTACACAACAAACCATTCTCCTTTCATGAAAATAATATATTAATATATTATTATGCTACTAATATGGAAGTTGTCTTTAGAGATATTAAAGTTCGCAAACTCAAACTTTATTTTTATTTGAAGGAAGGCTTCCATAGCTTTTATATTTCATAATAATTTCATGGAAGTATTTTGCCCTTTAGAATAAATGTTAGACTGATGGGGCTGAAATGAGACTTCCAGTTCTTTGATATTCCCCTTATACTTCAAATGGAAAGATTGGCATTCTCTTTATGTCACTGTTAAATTTTTTTAGTGCAGAAACAACATGATTAATAGATTGTTTTCTCCATAACAGATGATTAATTTTCAGAGGTTTAATAATGAAACTGTGTGTCAGTATTTGCACTTCAAGTGAATTAAATTGACCAATATATTTTCTGTGGTTAAATTTATTCACATTATCACCTTAATGTGTTTTCAAAGAAGCACATGAAATTATCGAGAAAGTAATTCAAAAAGTTGTAACATGGGTTAGAATTGACCAATAGGCCAGTTTTCTGTTAACTTATACTATACTGGTAGGTAATCCTAATGGTAAATTGTTTAGAAAGCAGAAGTACTCTGTTCCCACTTCTACTCTTGGCCTGAAGCACTTGGCTGACTTCTTGTTTCTTAGGGAAGGCAGTCTGAGGAAAGAAGAAATAGTGTAGGGAATATATATGTTTTGTTTCTTAGGGAAGACAGTCTGAAAAAAAAAAGAATAAATAGCATGGAGATTATATATATATGTGTATATATATACACATATTATATATACATAAAATATATACATATATACATATATATTATATGTATGTATATATATACATACATATATATTATCATAGAAAAGGATGTTCACAGTAGGACAGTTCTTAATATATTAATAATATGTGGTATTATTTTTAAAAATATAAGAGAAACTTGGGTTTCAGAATATTATTTTTTAGAATTCATGTGTCTCTAAGAAAACAAAATAAAATGCATAAAGGAGATGCAGAGCTAAAAATGGACAGAACATGATGCACTTTTATCATTAACCTCTTATCTATTGGAAATCTTAAAAGAATTAGGCACGTATTTTGAATGTAAAGTTGAAAAGTCTGATTTATGTAACAAATCCAAAGGAGGTGATTTATAGAAACTTAATTTTTACTATTTGTGGGTAAGTTGTTTGAATAGCCTTTAATTTGAATTCAATAGAAAATTTGAAGTTACAAGTAAATTCTGATAGGTAAAATCCATCTCAGAACTCATTCAAATTGTATCTTAAAAAGCAGCAGCAAGGAACCTTGCCATTTTTACTGCATCATCAAATGTGTTTAAACAATTTTAAGGCCACAGCAAAAGCAACCCAGACACTCACTGTTTAGTGCATTAATGTTTGTCTCATAGATGCATTGAGTAGTGCCTTTTTAGCTTCATGTTGCTTTGTTACCCTATACTTTGTGTTCTCTAAATAAATTGCCCAGTTCTGAAAATGTTCAGCATATGAAAAGGGCTTCAGTATCGACTGAGACTACTTTTGTTCATCTCAGGGAACTTTCAGTACTCAAGAATGAATTCAATTAAAGGCATTTAGTGTTCAAAGAAAACAAACTGTCCAAGACCATTTCATTCCCTATTTTATACCTTTCCATCCACCCCACCACCTTCATAAAGCTACTGTGGCCTTCTTACAGGGATAAGGCAAGGAGATCACTGAAGGCTAATAGCAAGAATAAGAAGAATAATTCCGTTTAACCAATAAGGGGCCAAAAGGGATCATGATAAAATCAAATTATAAATACAGACTTGAAACATCTGAATTTTTTTCTTTTGAGATGTATCATATGTTCACAGCTTTAATTTTTTGTTTCTTTTCACGATTTACCCCTGTACCTGGCAATGCTCAGGCAGCTGATTGTGGAATATTCTTGTCTTTTAGAGAATGTGGTTGTTACTGTGCTGTTGACATGAATAGGCCATGGAAACATTTTCATCATTATTACCCAGCCTGTTCTATATTTAATATTAAGTTGCTGGAATAAAAAAAAATGAATCAGTAACAGATTTTCTGGGCAAATCTAGTGATTCAGCCCACAGGACTGATGAAATTACTGTGGAAGTTTTTCTGTCTGAAAGAAGGTGCTGGGCATTCAAATGTCTTTATGTATTGTATATCATATGAAATGTATATCAATTGCTAATGGGAATTTCTACATATATGCTTACATAAGCAATTTATTTAAGTGATGCTATGGGTAGTGTACATACCAACTAGTTATTAAGCTTCTACACAGGAAAAGGGTGAACAAAGTAATTTATTTCTAATTGACCCAGTTAGTCATAATTCATACAATGTGGTATTTGGTTCATAAGAGATGTTTTCATGTGCTTATTGTTGGGAGTATCTATAATTGTGGAAGAGGTATAGGAAGAGTTATGTATAGTTAGTTGTTACCTCTACAAGTTTGAAAGTTTCCCCATTAGACCTTATCAATATACCAGTGTTTTAAAAATTGAGTAAAAGAGGGTTATTGTTCATATTTGATGAAAGAAAATCCAAATAAATCCCACCTAGAAATAGATATTTTATTATACATGTGCTATAGATATATCTATATAGTACAAATAGACATGTGTGATGCATATATACAATGTTATATATGTGTGTCTGTGTTATCCACACAGAGTTTGTAATATACACACATTAGATTTGTGTCATGCTAACATCTTCAGAGGCTGTATTGTTAAGCACTTTGGAGATAAGGACACTTTAGAATAAAGAAGTTCTTTTGAGACTTCAGTTACTAACCTGCTTTAAGGGGGATCTACTTTATAACTGAATTCTATTGTTCATATTTAGAGTTTCAATAAGGGTCTAGTATGGCCAAATCTTAAAAAAAGAAAAAAAAAAGGAAAAAAAAGAAAAAATTAAAATTAAAAAAAGTTTTCAAGCTGGCAATGTATTTGAATTGCAGTTTTCAGTGGCTCTCCGGCCCTGTATCTCCCATTTAAGTAGCACCTTTCAATAAATACTGTTTCTTTGTGTAGGCAAAAGCACAAGTGTTTCAAAATGTATATAGCAGGAAAAAAAAGTTTACAGAGATAGCACTGTTGCACAGGATAATTGCTACTGAGTATTTCTTATATCATTTGTGGAATTGAAAGATGAGATTTATTCTGTCAAGTTCATTCTGTTCAACACTGTTTCTTATTGTTTATGTATAGCAATTGGGTGTTACTGTTGTATCATTTGTAAAACTGTAAAATAAATTAAATCTCCCTTTTTTTTTCAAGTTTTCTCTTACCTCTTACATCCAAGCCCTTGGTTCCACTTTGTACGTCAATATAAGAGGACAGTTTTTAACAAGCTTTAGCTAGTGCTTTTGTCTTCCCTGCCCCTCTGCCCAGCCGATGGCAATTTGGCAAACCATTTATTTTTACAGCATATGCACAGAAACATGAACAATATCCACAGCCCCATGAACATCAGGACATCTTTAACAATTTTTGGCATGGTACATTCTGTTTGTGGTTGAGGGAATGGAGTGTTACACCAGTTACATTTGTATCCAGTTTATATTCCCACTGACTGCTGTCCAAGGGTCAACCCAGTTTCATGGCTGGAGAGGTCCATGGCCCCTTGCACACTGCACGTTCTTGTGGCTCCCCTTGCCTTGTGATTTTAACTGCTGTTAGGTCCATTTACTACTGTTTGCGGTTCACATTCCAGGAGATGATTCTGAAAACCTGCATATTTAAATCTTCTTCCATGGCTTTCTCTGCCAAATCTACGTTTTCAGACTCTGCACTATTTTCTCCAAAAACTACTATGTCTGTTTTCATGAGGTCACTTTTAGCATTCTGCAATTTTAAAGTATTTGCTAGAGACCAAGAGTGAACCATTCACAATGTTTAATGACTATAGACCGTATTTGAATTTACATAATTACCTTTTATTTTCAACGATCCATATATAATGGGTAATCCCTGTTGAATCTTGGGATAAAATCACACCTCAACATGAACCTATGCAATGGATATGGCAGTATCTCAGTTTTACAGATGAGCTGGTTATGTAACTTGCTAAGGGTGACATAGCTCAGAAGTGAAAGAACCAGGATTTGAATCCAACTAGTCTGACTTCAGTGTCTACCTTCTCAACCGTCATATTTTGATGCTGCCTCTTTTTAACTGACGAGGTTCCCTGCGAAACTAAGTTTGCAAACAAATTATTATTCAGTGAGCACAATGCTAAGTGAAACAAGTCAGAGAAAGACAAACAGCACATGATTCCACTCATATGTGTAATTTAAGAAACAAAACATATGAACCTATGGGAAGGGGAAAAAAAGAGAGGGAAACGAATCTTAAGAAACTGAACCATAACATATAATGTATTATTTGTTTCAGAAGTACAGGTCTGTGATTCAACAGTCTTACGCAATTCACGGCACTCACCATAGCACATACCCTCCCCAATGTCTATCACCCAGCCACCCCATCCCTCCCACCCCCCCACCACTTGAGCAATCCTCAGTTTGTTTCCTGCGACTAAGAATTCCTCCTATCAGTGAGGTCATATGATACATGTCTTTCTCTGATTGACTTATTTTGTTCAGCATAATACTCTCCAGTTCCATCCATGTCTTTGCAAATGGCAAGATTTCATTCCTTTTGATGGCTGCATAATATTCCATTGTGTATATATACCACTTCTTCTTTATCCATTCATCTGTCAATGGACATCTTGGCTCTTTCCACAGTTTGGCTATTGTGGACATTGCTGCTATACACATCAGGGTGCACATAGCCCTTCGGATCCCTACATTTGTATCTTTGGGGTAAATACCCAGTAGTGCAATTGCTGGGTTATAGGGTAGCTCTATTTTCAACTTTTTGAGAAACCTCCATACTGTTTCCAGAGTGGCTGCACCAGCTTGCATTCCCACCAACAGCGTAGGAGGGTTCCCCTTTCTCCACATCCCCGCCAACATCTGTCGTTTCCTGACTTGTTAATTTTAACCATTCTGACTGGTGTGAGGTGGTATTTCACTGAGGTTTTGATTTGGATTTCCCTGATGCCGAGCGATGTTGAGCACTTTTTCATGTGTCTGTTGGCCATTTGGATGTCTTCTTTGGAAAAATGTCTGTTCATGTTTTTTGTCCATTTCTTGATTGGATTATTTGTTCTTTGGGTGTGGAGTTTGATAAGTTCTTTATAGATTTTGTATACAAGCCCTTTATCTGTTATGTCGTTTGCAAATATCTTCTCCCATTCTGTCGGTTGTCTTTTGGTTTTGTGGACTGTTTCTTTTGCTGTGCAAAAGCTTTTTATCTTGATGAAGTCCCAATAGTTCATTTTTGCCCTTGCTTCCCTTGCCTTTGGCGATATGTCTAGGAAGAGGCTGCTGCGGCTGAGGTCGAAGAGGTTGCTGCCTGTGTTCTCCTCAAGGATTTTGATGGACTCCTGTCTCAATTGGAGGGGAAGACGAACCATGAGAGTCTATGGACTCTGAGAAACAAACTGAGGGTTCTAGAGGGGAGGGGGGTGGGGGGGATGGGTTAGCCTGGTGTTGGGTATTAAAGAGGGAATGTATTGAATGGAGCACTGGGTGTTATACACAAACAATGAATCATGGAACACTACATCAAAAACTAATGATGTAATATATGGTGATTAACATAACATAATAAAAGTAAAAAAAAAAAAAAGAAAAAGAAAAAGAAACTGAACCATA